GTAATGCAAGAAAAATTAGAATAAAGGGGAAGAAGGAGCTCAAGAGTGGAGGGATAATAGGAAATAGATATTATCAAGGGGAAATGGGGGAAATTGAGGTACTTTAATTGGGACAAGAGGAGGGAGGTTAGACAGGGAGAGAGGAGAGATAAGTAACGCTTAGGCATTGAAAAACCAGAGGGAAGTATATTGACTCGAGTCTACTGATAAATACACATACAATATCTGAACATGAGAGCATATGCATACTTGAAGTCTATATAACAGGAAACACAGTGCCAGAAAGGAGAAACCTCTCCAAAATTGGGACAAGAGGAGGGAGGTTAGACAGGGAGAGAGGAGAGATAAGTAAAGCTTAGGCATTGAAAAACCAGAGGGAAATATATTGACTCAAGAGTCTACTGATAAATACACATACAATATCTGAACATGAGAGCATATGTATACTTGAAGTCTATATAACAGGAAACACAGTGCCAGACAGGAGAAACCTCTCCTTTCGAGTTGTTAGTCAGGATAGTCCAAGAGAGTCCCCAAATAACACAATCTATCGCCACAGCCCTTACTGCCTCCCAGTACTTGAAGGTAAGACCCTATTGATGAAGAGAGGACATAGTTTGGACACAGGACTTGGAGCAATGGAGCTGGAACTGACCTGGAATTCTCCTCCTTGAAGACTGAATCTCTTAGTTCTAGATGATAATATGCAAACTGCTAAGGGACAAAAATCAATCAATGGTCCATTGCCAACTTTATAGCTTAGTAACCACAACAACTGGCACAGCAGACTACATAGATGGAGCAATAGCACTTTTAACTTAGGAGTAATCAATAGCTATCTAATTTTACTCTTACACTTAAAATTTGAAAGGATATACTTTGACAGTCTGGAAAAGTACTATTAAATGATGTATTCAGTTTGCATATCTAACAACAATTTAAGTATTCAACATTACATTTATTTAATAAAATGTCTTACATCTACAATAATAAAAATATATAATATTTAGAGGCTGGAGAGACAGCATAACGGTTAGTAGCACATAGAGGTCTTGAAGAGGACCTTGACTCAGTTCCCAAAACACATATGGCAGCTCACAATGTTCTGTAACTCTCATTTTAGGATGTCTGATTCCTTATTCTGTCCCTGTGGGAAACCAGGCATGCACATGATACACATAGAAATATGTAGGCAAATTTGCGTAAAATAAAAATAAATACAATTTATGTGTATCTGTATACCACATTGAATAAATTATATAACAAAGAGCTATAAAATTAAATTATATTTTATTCCAAAGTATTTTAACACAAAAATAATTTGTGTGTCTTGCACATTTTCACTGTTTCTCAAGGTTTGTTTTTAGCAGAACAAGACCTCACAACTCCTGATGAATAATGGACTCCTCACAGGTCATTGAAACATCTAAAGTAGTTTAACTTGAGAGTTGAATGAAATCTTTTATTCAATTGTCAAGTAAATACACTCTAAGAATTATTGTCTTAGAAATATCATAATATCCAAATACCATAAATATAGACAACTAAAATTAAAAAAAACTTCTTGTCTCTCACAGACATTGGCTAGTTTCCCTACTTTTCTCTTTATTTGCTTGTGGGAAATTGCATTTCACAATTCCTCTAGTGTGGTTCTTAATAATTTCCTGAAAGTTAGAACTTTACTTATGTTATTGTCAAACTCCCTGGTTTCCCCATACTATCCCTCACTCTCCCATCCATAATCCGTAATCTCAAGGGAAGAATGAGTGCCTCCTATGTGACCATATTGCTTGGGAATCAATGGGGAAATGGGAACTTTTAACTGCTGATTATCCCTAGAGTTGAACTTTCAGGATATGATTCTAGAGGGAGTTTATTAATCACTGTTTGTCCCTAATAAAACTCATATTATTTCAATTCAATATAAAATCACCGTATGATCCACTCTGCAAAGGAACAAATGACTTTGAGCATCAGCCTCATCAGAAAGCAAGGTTAGTGACTCACAACGTACTTTGGGGCCATCACTTCCTTACAACCTCAAAGCCGGTTTCCCTACAGAAGAATGGAGAAGTAAAACATAGAACATTAAGCTTTCTGGAAAGGTGATGTAAGTTTGAATCCCAGTCTTTGTTTTTTATTTTATTATTTATTTATTTATTTTTGGTTCCTAATGATCTTTTTATTAAAAGTAGGTGCACTTTACAGTAAGAGTTTTCCAAGCCCTGTGAACCCTGTGGTACCGCCAGCTCCAGCTCTTTGTAGGGTCATAGTTACGGTGGTTGCGCTCTGGTGTAGAAACAGCATCTCACTGCCAAGCGCCAAGCTCTCTGGTTTCAGGGACAGACAGCCAGGGTCAGCAGATGCTACCGCACTGGGTGACAGGCAGGTGAGGCAAGCCTCACTCTCCATTCCTAACACAGTGGCCCTCAAGGGCACCAGCAGCAGTGGAACTGGGAAGCAGGAACTGAAGCAGAGACCATGGAGGAATGCAGCTTACAGCCTTACTTTCCCTGGCTTGCTCAGCTATTTGTCTTACACAGCACAGGTTTACCTGATCAAGGTTGGCACCAACTGCAGTGGCTTGAGCCCTTTTACATGGATGAACAATTAAGAAAATGCCTCCCAGACTTGCCCACACACCAGTCTTATCGAGGATATTTCTCAGTTGAGTTTCTTTCTTCCCAGGTGACTCCAGTTTGTGTCAAGTTGACAAACACTAACCACTGCAAACACCAAACCAATAACTCCAACCATCACTATGAGAATTAATTTATAAATGAGTGAAAGATAGTCTAGGGAGAAACAGTAGATTACAACATAAAAAAATTACACAGATGTTTATGAATTTCCAGGATCTATAGATATTTATTTCAATTTTCTTGTGGCAGAGAGAGCAACATTTCTGTTTCTTAGAGGTTTAAGGAATAGAACAAATTGCTGTAAGAAACAGAAAATATCTGAATGACATGCTGCTGAAACCCAAACTGTCTAAAATGAGGGCCGATTAGAAATTTAAAGTCATGAATTACTAACACGGAAGAGGCATTAAAGACGTCTTAGAACTTCCTTTCACTGAGGGCTATGCTTCTGAAGAATCCTGCAAAATGTTTAGATATTTTTATTCTAGAATGTCTGGATCTATAGAAAGAGGTTTTCTTACTATTGAAATTCTTTCCTTTGTCCTGAAATCTCAAATTTTCCTTCATTTTTCAGGTAATACATTTAGTTTCTTTCTTTAGAGAGATTTACAATGAGGCCAACTCATGTAGCGTACAATCACACGTCAAATAGTTGGACATAAACATCATGTGATATGTGCATTTCCTGTGGTAGCTAATTATTTCCAAGTTATTCCATTTATTATTCAAATGACAAAAGTTCTACATAATTTTATGACATTAGTTATGAATCCAAATGTTGCTTAAATGTTAAAATTATAAATGCGTTATTCTAGAATCAACTTCTTTCATTTAAAATATAAAGGACACATTTGTATTTAGAAGAATCACAATAGATTATGATTGAATTTAGGGTAACGTTTTTTACTTGGATTTTAGATCTATTTTACTAATCCACATAACTGCCATGTTTAAATTTTATGAAGAACTAATGTAAATTAATAATTTTTAAAAATGAACAATCTAGAACACAGTGAATATTTTCTGACAAAACCCTTTTAAAATGTTTTTTATTGAATTTTCACGATTTTCATGCAATATAATTTGATGGTATTTAGATCCTTTTCCCCATCTGCACCTCACCTTACTACCCACTGCCCAATTTAATGTTCTCTATTATATATGTAATATAGTCTGTAGAGCCTCTTTTGTGTTCCCAAGTGTCCTTCAGTGTGCATTCATCAACTGGAGCCTGGTTCATCTACCAAGAGTCCACCCCTGTAAGAGAATGTCTCTTTCACTTCCAGCAGCATGATCAGTTGCTGAAAGTTCCTTAGGTTGGGTTGGGATTTCTTATCCACTTTCCCTTTTTCATGCTGGGATTTTGTCTGGATTGAGCTTGCATGGGGCTTGTGCATACTATCACGATTGCTTCTATTTATATTTTACAAATGTAAACAGTTTTCTGGGTTCCACCAATTAATTCAATCATGTATTCCAACTACTATAAAACAATCATGGCCCACAGTTTCTTTAGGTAGAGTGGTGGAATCCATGATATAAATGTATATTATCATGTTGATTCTTAGGTATTATTAAAATTGGATTAAGAATATGCAACCCCGCATTCATGGAAAAAAAGGTGAAAAGGGTGCTGTCTGACAAAAGCTATATTGTCACTTTCATGAGTTACTTGGGGTTGGCAAAAGATGTTGGAACACACAGAACAGCATTCTCAGATGAAAGATACTATACCTGTAGTTTCCCCATTGTTCAGATATTAAACAATGAATAATAATTGAAATTAAAATTATTAATTTTATAAATTA